CTAAATGGAATGTGCTCATCATGGTTCCCTAATTTTCTATTAAAATCTCAAAAAGTGCATCACAGTAATAATCCAAATGCAGAAACTTGCATATTAATATTGGTCTGTCGCATGATTGTTAATTACAACCACACGTCAATTCTAACAAACGTAAATTATTAACAAGTTGAAATATATCGAGATATATTCGTAAAACATAAATTAAGAATCTATCATAGATATAAATAAATTTAAAGAATGGAAGTTACTACTATCTCAAATCATGGAAAATCGACATTTACAGTTTCATAGAGAATAAGAATGATCTGCTTCAAAAATACTGAATAGTATTTTGCTAGATGCTATCTTTTATACTGTAATTATAATATTTGGAATATTTCGATTTCCGCAAGGCAATTATAAGAAGATAGATTGATGTTCATGAGCTTATTCTTAATTTAAGATGCATCTACGTCCAAGCCTTTCTTTTTTCTGTAGTCGTGTTCCGATTGATATCCAGGTGGATGATTATGATTATGTACACCTGTTGGCATAAACCGTTCCGCAATCACCGCACATTTACCTTTACATCCGCGATGCTGTTCCGCGCATCGATAATGAGATCTATTTAAACCTTCTGAACGAGATGTTAAATTATAGACGTAGCCCTCGTGCACTAATTGCGGTCGACCCCGCGCAGACAGCCTGTAAATTACTGGTTCATCAGCTGTAATATAAAAATATTATCATAGCGTACTAAAATAATTTAAACTTATCGATATAAGAATTTGTAATGGCTTCATTTTTACCTTGTTGTGCAGGATTCCCACTTGAAGTTTGTGCATTACTCTGTTCAAACAAGTTCTCTGTCTTATTATTATCCTCTGCAATAGAAATACCTTCCTTGGATTCATCCATATCTTTTTCCATTAATAGTAAAACTTCCTGGTCATCACCATCTGCCTCCTCATTTGACAAATCACGAGTACTTTCTGAAAGAGCTAAAGTATCTTGTCTTTTCTTTTTGGCACTCCTTTTTGTGATATCACGAGATCTCTTTCTTCTATCCATCATCTCTACATCTTTAGAAGTTTTTCTTACAGTACTTAAATACGTTTGAGCAACATTTTGTGTGTCTGAATCAGTGCTTTGTTGATTGTCGCAGTTAGAAAATAATTTCGTGGTACTTGCATCATCTGTTGCAAGTCCCCTAATTTGCAGTGTCTGTGCCACTTTTAAAAATGTGGACAAATCTTCCTGCTTTATGTTTATTTCACCTTGGTACATGAACTTTAACAATGATTCAATTTCGGTGTATTTTATGTCTTTCAATATAATTACTGGATGTTGACAAGGGTTTTCCTGTGAAATTAACAGATATATTTAACATATTTAAATTTTAAACCGTGCAACTTAAAATAGAAGTATCGTATCATTTTTTCTTGTACCTTAAATATATTTTTAAAGTACGGACTACACACTGACAAGACAAGTTTATGTGCCTGCAACAGCTGACCCTCCACAGCCAAGGTGACATCAACTAAATCATTTTCAGTAAGATGAGTCAAAAAGCCAGATGTCAAGTTGCTAGAAAAATTGTTCCATCTCAAGGAGAATTGTTCTGACAATGAATTTTTTGCCATGATTACCTATAAAGAATGAAACTTTCATAACAACAGATTTCAAAAGAATTTACAATAAAGAGAGAAGTGTTTTCATTTCTAAATGTTGAACTTGGTACTCTGAAACGGATGTTTAGACAATTATAAAGATGTTGTATAATAATCAATTTTAAAGGGATTGACAAGTGTAAAAGGAAAACTGATTATCAAAAGTTTGCTACCATGAAACAGTTGTTTATATATTCTAGAGAAATTCTATCTCATCGTGAATGTCGATGGATATTTACACGTTATTACATTTACATGTTTAAAATATTCAAAAACTATCTAGGGTACGTACAAAAAACGCTCGTAGTTATCAAAGAATGCAAAGATTAGTAATATTATCCTATGTTACGCGTTATGAATCATACCATCGTGACAAACGCACTATCGGTACCGAAGGAATCGTAGTTCAAAAATTTTCGGACTGATAAATTAAAAACATTGTTTTCGAGATGTCTCGAACATATTACCAATAAAACTAAAAGTAATATTACTTTGAAACACCACATCA